CTTGCACACATATACACACACATTCACTCACTCATGCACACACATGCACACTCACACACATACACTCACACACACAGGACACTCCATTCACAATTATTATCAACAAATCTCGAGAACGGAAACCATTCGGAGAAATAGAGTTCAAGTTTATTTTCCCGAGCGTTCTGAGAAATAGAGCCGGCCTTTACTTTATATGTCGCGTTTTCCAAAACTAGATTCGAGGGCGATTTCGTAGTTTCCTTCGTTAAAGTCCAAAGCTGAATGCCAGAGACTCTGAGTTGCCAGGTAATCATTGAGGAGTGAACTAAGCGTAAGACTGGAAGGAAACACTAAAAAGTAAAGCCGGAAAATAAAAATTCAAGCAAAGGATGGCGCTTTATTATTTGCCGGTTTAGGCCACAAGAGTCAAGAGTGGAGGGGGCGGGGTGGAGGGGGGTGGAGGAGGGGGGTTCAGGGGGGTGCCCCCCTGAATTTGACCATAATATGATCATGTCATGTTTTGCAGAGGTTTTACGGTTGCATCCCTGTTCTTTGTGTTGCTTGTTATATAGATTTGGTCTTCAAGACTTCTGGATTTCTTCTCTGGATGTAGATCTAGATCTAAACAAATGGATTGTGGACTTGAACGGAAAACTACAAGATCACCGATTCTAAGACTATGACTATGACATAGATAGATCTAGATCTAGATCTAGATCTAGATCTAGATATATCTAGATCGAATGGCTTGGCTTGAGTCATAACATGACAGTAAATTAAAAAACCAGTCACAACGTCTTAAGTCTTTTGAAAAAGAACAGAAGTTTTAGGTCGATGAATGGGCTTGACAAAGACAAAGCTGACACTTCCAACTGACACCAATTCAAGTAGCCTAGAGGCTAGATCAAGTGCAAAGTTCACTGAAAAGTGTGAGAAAACTTGAGCAACCCGTTACAGCAGACAATCAGCTTATTTCCACAAACACAAACCTTGAGAGCCCAAGACGACAACTTTGGCCTCCAGCGACTTCATGTTTAAGTCATTCATTTCCGGTGGTGTATTTAGCCTGAACAGCTCATGTAATCAGTACCTATGAGATAGGTCAATTGACATTGATAAATAATGGTATTCGACGAGGCGACAGTTATCATTCACTCTCCTGTAATCAGTAAACATCAGCCATTTTGACGACCTAGTAAACAATGGGAAGTCCCTTCCGCTCCTAAAAATAGTACTGATGACGCACTAGTGTTCTATTTTGGGGATTCAGGGGACGTGACTAAGATTTTGAAATCAGAAGAAAAATAGTTACCTTTCTTTTGTTTGTTTTTTGTAAAGTATTTTACGGCGCTCGCAACTGCATAGGTCATATGAGCGCGCGGGACACTCCTAATCCTAATGTTTTCAGTTGGTAGGAAATTTTGAATTTTGCCCGGGTGGCGGCCGAAGCCTACTCTTATCGATTTTAGACCATCAA